TCTCTCTCTCTCTCTCCCTCTCTCTCTCTTCCCCTCTCTCTTTCCACCCCCTCTCTCACTCACTCACTCTTAACTCTTATATAAGTTAGCTAGAGGCAACAGAAAATGTTCCAATGTTGGGAAACGTTGTCAACAAATTACTTCCATCTCACTTGTCGAATCCGACGTATTTATTTGTTGGTCGCTTCATTTTTTTTTTTCTTGTTCAGTTGACCGTCGTGTGTGGTGTAGCAGTTAGGTGTCTAACAGTGGCACGCATGAGATCTAGGGTCGATTCTCTTGTAAAGATAATTTTCATCGAATATTTCATTCTGTCTACACTCATATCCCACTCTCACCTTTCTCTTTCTATCTCTTTCTCTCTCTCTCTCTCTCTCTCTCTCTCTCTCTCTCTCTCTCTCTCTCTCTCTCTCTCCCAGAGACGCCCCTAGGCATACAACAAAGAATAGAACTTGAGACTTTTAAATAACTAAAGCTAAGTAGAAAGAATGTTATGAGTTATGTTCTTCAAATTGAAATAGTGACAGAAAAATATACGGACTAGCAGGCAATCATTATTTACAATTAAGTAGTAGCATTTTATAGACTTCTTTGCTCGTCAAAACTCTATCCAAACTTAGATGTGTTCTAAAAAGCTGGAAGCATCTTATTTCTTTGTCCTCCTACTCTATTGAGTAACTTATGCTGTCGGTCGCTACACTCTCAGTAATGGTTATAACCTCTTAGTATTTGTCCACGCCTATTTGTAATAACCACCACATTATTGTGTTTTACCACTAGTGTTAGCATTTTATAGGCTTCTTTGCACGTCAAAACTCTATCTAAACTTACATTTGGTATAAAAAGTCGGATACATCTTCATATCTGTGTCTTCCTACAGTATTGAGTAACTTGTGCGGTCGGTCGTTACACTCTTAGTAATGGTTCTAATCTATTCGTATTAGTATCTTTCTATGCCTAGTTGTAAGAACCAACACAGTATTATGTTTTATCATAAGTAGTAACATATTTTAAGCTTCTTTGCCCTTGCAAAACTCTATCCAAACTTAGATGTGTTGTAATATGCTGGGAGCATCTTTATTTCTTTGTCCTGCTTAAATAAATTCAAGTTTTGTGTAACATTAATTGAGCAATGAACTTCTCTTTTGATGACTTTTCGTCAATTTGCGACCGTTATTTGCCTCTGTCGGCTAAGTGTGAGTTTTGCATCTTTTTTTTTTTTTTTTTTTTTGAATCGATCTCTCTACCACCAAATGTGTAATTTCAGTATTAAACCGTTAAACCAATTATGAAATGTCCTCATTTCAAGATAGAAATATCAACAGCATATTCCCTTAAAATAAGTAGATCTAGTCCAATATTATTAGCTTCTTTGCGAGGGAAAACTCTATTCTAACTTAGATATGTTCTAAAAAGCTGGAAGTAGTGGAAGCATTTTTTTCTGCGTCCCCCTACTGCATTGAGTAACTTGTGCGGTCGGCCGTTACTCTCTATGTAATGATTATAATCTCTTAGTATTTGTCTGATATTGCCTAATTGTAATAAATACCACATTGTTGTATTTTATAGGCTTCTTTACACGTCAAAACTCTATGCAAAGTTAGATAAAAATAGTTTAACAATAAAATAAGATATCTAAAACGCTAACGCATCATTTAGTATAAATATAAGACCATAAAAATTTTTTCGCCAGCTTCAGCAACTAAACAGAATATACGTTTGTCACTACCATAGATAGACACACAGTCATGTCGCTTAGGAGGCACTGATATCCCCAAAGACAGGTGTATTCACACCTGCCCTTACTTGGATACAGCATACGATAGTGCTGTGACCTATTTTTTTCTTTGCTTCACATTCGCCTCTACCGTTTGTAATATCAGCCTCAGAGTGAAAATGAACCTGTTCACACTTTGGCCTATAGTACGAGATACTGCTTACGCTTGGATTGAATTAAAGACCCGAACGTTTACCCGGCGTACTTGTCGCGGCACATGGGAGGACACCTCAGCTTGTCATGTGATCAGACTTCTAAATATAGTAACACACTTTATATGGGCGTACCATTGGGTGGTGGTCGCTGCGTTTTATTTTTGGTGTGGGAATCACCTTTCATGGAAAAGTCAGTGATTCAGTTTTCGAGTGAACAATGTTGGGAAATCATTTAAATACGAGAGCTTCCACCGAGTTCTCCACAACTGCTACCACTGCCTCAACTTGAGGGACAACTCTTCAGAGCAAGAGGAACCACAATAAACAGTCGCCGAATCGCCCTTTTATTCCTGCTATTTCGACCAACGATTTCTTGGCCTGCCTTTAAAGTCTTTCTATTGTTACGAGAAGTAAGTATTCGAATGAATGTAGGCGTGCAATTAATAAATAAACCCTTAGAATTGTCTAAACAAGCACCCAGTTTAAGTCTGTATACTAAACTACACTTTTTGCGATTATGTGTGTGTAAGTGTGTGTGAGAGAAAGAGACAGGCAGACAGACATAGACAGAGAAGGGCTGGGGAGCGTAGGGTGCATTTATCTCATCCATTTTTCCTGAGGGGAGTCCCTTCTACTAAGTCATTGCAAGATACTTTAACCAATACAACTGACATAAAGAAATAATTGTAAGAGTGTCTTCTGTGCACAAGGGTCAATTGCTTGATCATCTTACAAAAAAGCATAAATATCTGCACCCACCTCATTAGATTTACTCTCTTGTCTCTTACAATCTAATAAAGTTTATCCAATAAGTAGGCCTACCGGGTTGCATATGAAAAACCTGACAAATGAAACAGGGCTCTCCAGTGCACCTTTTTTCGAAAATGCTTTACCGTTTTGAAAAATTCTAAAAACAAACCAAAAAAAAGATTTGTTATAGTTTTATGGTTACAGAGTCGTAATATATAACTTTCTTATTTATGTCTCAGTAAATGGTTTCCGAAAAGACAATTTCATTGCAGTCAACACTATGCAGTGTCTTGTTTTCATTATATCTAGAATGACTCAACATCAGACAATCTTAGCATCATCACCCCAACATTGCTTGATAGACTGTCTCTTTTTCTTTTAAACATGAGTTCCTCAGCCACGCTACCAGAAAATGGCACAGTCAGATGTAACGTAATCTCTGCTCAAGTTCAAGGGGCTGCAGCAGATGATATTATATTATCCAAGACCAAAATCAATTCTGATATGATCCTAAAATGAAGGGTAAAGAAAAGTAAAACGTCTTCAAAACAGGAATGAACTGTTAATTAGGACACAATAGATCTCTTAGGTCAGTGCTCGTCGTTTGTAGGCAAGATTGGCATTCTAAATTGTTTTGACACAAAACCTGTCGTCCAAACTTTTATTGCTCGACACTAAACAAACTCAACAGCCTGTACAGACAAGGCTAAGCACTCTACCCAACCTTTCCCTGCTGTTTTATTTTACTGTAGGAATTTTTTACGCTCTCATCGATACAGTTTAAATCCTCCCTGATGTTTGAGTGAAAATAGGTCGATACCGAAACTCAAATAAGCTTTCTAATTTTCAGAAAATCACCATGACCAACACGAACTACGTCCATTCCGACAACACTGAACCCATTGTCATCGACAACGGGTCAGGCATGTGCAAGGCCGGTTTTGCCGGTGACGACGCTCCCAGGTGTGTGTTTCCCGCTATCACAGGTCGCCCCAAGTACCAAACTGTCATGGCTGGGATGGGCAGCAAAGATTGCTATGTCGGCGATGAAGCTCAGGCTAGGCGGGGAATGCTGTGTATGCATTACCCCGTAGAGCATGGAATTGTCACTAACTGGGATGATATGGAAAGGATTTGGCATCATACTTTTTACAACGAGCTGCGTGTGGCGCCCGAAGAAAATCCTGTACTCCTGACAGAAGCTCCTCTCAACCCGAAAGCCAACAGAGAGATGATGACTCAAATTATGTTTGAGACCTTCAACGCCCCTGCTTTTTACGTTGGCGTCCAGGCTGTACTTTCTCTGTACGCTTCTGGTCGAACCACTGGTGTGGTGATGGATTCAGGAGACGGCGTCACCCATTTCGTGCCGATCTACGAGGGTTATGCTCTTCCGCACGCCATAAAAAGAGTTGATCTGGCTGGTAGAGATCTCACTCACTACCTACGCAAAATCCTCAACGAGAGAGGCTATAGTTTTACCACCACGTCTGAGATGGAGATTGTAAGAGATATGAAAGAGAAGCTCTGCTACGTCGCTATGGATTTCGACCAGGAAATGAGCGCTGCTGCAAAATCATCAAGCGTGGAGAAGTCATACGAGCTGCCTGATGGCACAGTTGTTACTATTGGAAACGAGCGTTTCCGCTGCCCTGAAGTCCTGTTCCAGCCGTCATACACAGGTCGTGAATCCGCAGGTGTTCATGAGCTTTTGTACAACTCCGTTATGTCTTGTGATATCGACATTCGCAGAGAACTGCTCCACTCAACAATCCTCTCAGGTGGCACCACCATGTACCCAGGCCTGGCTGATAGGATGCAAAAAGAGTTAGAAGACTTGGTGCCCCCATCCAACAAGGTAAAGGTCATTGCCCCGCCCGAGCGGAAGTACTCAGTGTGGATCGGCGGATCCATCATGGCGTCCCTATCTACTTTCCAACAGATGTGGATCTCCAGGCAAGAGTACGATGAATGCGGTCCCTCTATCGTCCATCGCAAGTGTTTCTGAGTAGTGTGAGATCACGACATTTTCATCACAAAACTGACTGGTATGGAAACTAGCCTATATTTAATGTGTCCTATATCTGACACGATTGATCAACGAGTACAAAAATGTATTCCGTGTTCTATCTGAGAGTTTGAAGAAAGATGGAAAGGACTTTAGGGCGTGTCTAGTTTTCTTTAAGTGAGTGAGTGTGCAGTTGTGTATAGTTCAGCGTGGTCCATGTAGTTAAGCGTGTGATCTTGTTCATCCAACATATTTATGATATTCGTATATTTTCTGTGCTACAATTTTGCAAAGGTGCTGGCACCTTACATTTCATTGTAAATAGAGGGCTTATTGAAGGAGAGTAAGCGAATGATGGATAGAGGGGGAGAGAAAAAAGAGAGGGGGAGAGAGAGAGAGAAAGACAGGGAGAAAGAGGAAAATAGGGAGAGAGACAGACAGAGAGAGAAAGACATAGAGAGAAAGAGAGAGAGAGAGAGAGAGCACTGCCATGGTTTCAATTTATACATGTATTGTACTGATTTTTTTTATCTACTTGTTATTCAAATTTCCGCTCACTGATGTCGTTAAATTATTTTTACTTGCACTTTGTTTGTAAAATCAAGACCTTTTTACGTAAATATGCCTTGAAATAATAATTTAAAAAATGAAATGCAAATTAAATCCGTTACTTTAATTATTGTTCTATTTATGATTCTTTTTTCTTTTTGCGAAACAGAATTCATGTTCTATCTATCTATCTATCTATCTATCTATCTATCTATCTATCTATCTATCTATCTATCTATCTATCTATCTATCCATCTATCTATCTATCTATCTATCTATCTATCTATCTATCTATCTCTCTATCTATCTATCTATCTATCTATCTATCTCTCTATCTATCTATCTATCTATCTATCTATCTATCTATCTATCTATCTATCTATCT